AAGAAGAGGATGAGGATGAGGATGATGAAGAAGAAGAAGAGGATGAGGATGAAGAATAGGATGAGGATGCAGAAGAAGAGGATGAGGATGATGAAGAAGAAGAGGATGAGGATGAAGAAGAAGAAGAGGATGATGAAGAAGAAGAGGATGAGGATGAAGAAGAGGATGAGGATGAAGAAGAAGAGGATGAGGATGAAGAAGAAGAAGAAGAAGAAGAAGATGAAAATAAGAAGAATTCCAGTCCAGCAAAAAGTGTCTCTGCAGAGAGCTCCGCTATTTCTGACAGTTCTCTGACAGTTCCTTGACATTTACAGCGGTTGAAACATTGTATCTATTTGTTTCCGAATAAAAACATCTGTATCCTAAATGGAAACAAATAGATACATTGTTGCAACTTCTATAAATGTCAAGGAACTGTCAGAGAACTGTCAAAGAAATAGCAGAGCTCTCTGCAGGGACACTTTTTGCCGGCTCTAGACGGGTAGAAAATCGGCCGATTTTTTTTTTACCATTGATGGTAACGTCGGCCACTTGAACAACCGATTTTTCGTTTTTTAAAAGAAAAATCTGCAGTTTTTCATCTATGGCCTGCATTAGTCTGCTTTTCTGTTGGCCGAGCCCTTTATGTGAACAAGGACACTGAAAGGACCCTGCTCTCCACCCATCCTAGAACCTTCTGACCTAGGTCCAGGAGCTTCTGGGATCTGGTCCCCCCCCGATGAAGCAATGCCACTGTCAACATATTGTCTGACAGAACTTGGACTTCTTTTCCTCCTTCTTTACACGAAATTACACGAAAAAATACAGGCTGCTCTGGAAAAAGATGGTTTGATTGTTTTGAAGGAGCACAATATGCTGACACTTGAACAAAAATGAGCTGCATGGTCGAGGTGCCAGAAAGAAGCCTTTACTGCATCAATGACACAAAAAGGCCTGGTTAGGCATGTCAAGGTGTTGTCAGGCATATTGTAACTGGGCTTTTTTGTGGCATTGGTGCAGTAAAAGCTTCTTTCTGGCACCTCGACAAAACAGCTCATTTTTGTTCAAGTATCCCCGTATTGTAATCCTTAAAAACAACCACACCAACTTTTTCCAGAGCAGCCTGTATTTCTTTTGAGGTTAGTTGTCGGTTTTTCTTTGAATCCCGGACAACTCTTCTGTCAGTTATGGCTACAATCTTTCTTGGTCTCCCTGACCTTCGCTTGGTATAAAGAGATCCCCAAACTTTCCACTTCTTAATAGGTGATTTAACACTACTGATTGGCATATTCAAGGCTTTGGACATCTTTTTATGTCCTTTTCGTTATGTTGGATTGTGGCCCAGTCTCCGGAAGGAGGGATTATGCTCTGCTTCAGTATGTCACAGTACATGTTGGCATACATGGTCCCCTCAATGAACTTTAGCTCCCCAGTGCTGGCAGCACTCATGCAGCACCAGACCATGACACTCCCACCACCATGCTAGATTGTAGGCAAGACACACTTGTCTTTGTACTCCTCACCTGGTTGCCGCCACACACACTTGACACCATCTGAACCAAATATGTTTATCTTGGTCTCATCAGACCACAAGCCATGGTTCCAGTAATCCATGTCCTTAGTCTGCTTGGCTTCAGTAAACTGTTTGCGGGCTTTCTTGTGCATCATCTTTAGAAGAGGCTTCCTTCTTGGACGACAACCATGCAAACCAATTTGATGCAGTGTGCGGCATATGGTCTGAACTCTGACAGGCTGACCCCCACCCCTTCAACCTCTGCAGCAATGCTGGCAGCACTCATATGTCTATTTCCCAAAGACAACCTCTCAATATGATGCAGACCTTGTGCACTCAACTTCTTTGGTTGACAATGGTGAGGCCTGTTCTGAGTGGAAACTTTCCTATTAAAATGCTGTATGGTCTTGGCCACTGTGCTGCAGCTCAGTTTCAGGGTCTTGGCAATCTTCCTATAGCCTAGGCCATCTTTATGTAGAGCAACAATTCATTTTTTCAGATCCTCAGAGAGTTCTTTGCCATGAGGTGCCATGTTGAACTTCCAGTGACCAGTATGAGAGAGTGAGAGCGATAACACCAAATTTAACACACCTGATCCACATTCACACCTGAGACCTTGTAACACTAACGAGTCACATGAAACCGGAGAGGAAAAATGGCCAATTGGGCCCAATTTGGACATTTTCACTTAGAGGTGTACTCACTTTTGTTGCCAGTGGTACAGACATTAATGGTTGTGTGTTGAGTTATTTTGAGGGGACAGCAAATTTAAACGGTTATACAAGCTGTCCACTCACTACTTTACATTGTAGCAAAGTGTCATTTCTTCAGTGTTGTCACATGAACAGATATAATAAAATATTTACCAAAATGTGAGGGGTGTACTCACTTCTGTGAGATACTGTGTGTATATACACACACACACACACATATACACACACACACACACACACAGTACTGTGTCTAAAAGTCTTAGACAGGCATGATAAAACGCTGTAAATAAGGAATGCTTTCAGAAATAGAAGTGTTAGTTTATTTTTTTCAATTAACAAAATAGAAAATAAATGAACAGAAGAGGAATCCAAATCAAATCCATATTTGATGTGGCCACCCTATGCCTTCAAAACAGCATCAATTCTTCAAATCTTCTAGGTACACTTACATACAATTTTTGAAAGAACTCAGCAAGTAGGCTGTTCCAAACATTCTGGAGAACTAACAACAGACCTACTGTTGATGTAGGCTGCCTCAAATCCTTCTGTCTCTTTATGTAATCCCAGATAGACTCGATGATGTTGAAATTGGGGCTCTGTGGGAGCCAAACCACACTTCCACCAGGACTCCTTGTTCTTCTTTATACTTCTTCTAGTTCTTAATGATATTGGCTGTATGTTTGGGGTGGTTGTTCTGCTGCAGAATAACTTTGGGGCAAATCACATGCTTCCATGATGGTATGGCATGGTGGACAAGTATCAGCCTGTATGTCTTAGAATTGAGGACACCATTGATTGCACCCCATTTCTTTTGTTTTAATTTATAGTTGAGGTGATTAGCCTTGTTTCCATGACCTATGCACAAAAACATGGTAACTGGAGAGGAAAGTATGTTGTTTTGAAGTCAAAAGGTGGTCACACCAGATATTTGTTTGATTTGGATTTCTCTTCTGTTCTTCATTTACATTTTTCACACATGCCTAAGGCTTCTGCACAATACTGTATGTATATATATATATATATATATATATATATATATATATATATATATATATATATATATATATATATATATATATATATATATATATATATATATATATATATATCATTACACTCCCCATGATCTGCTACAAACACTCTGTGAGCAATGTGTAGTAAGCCAACAATAGACAATGGGCATGATCTTTTGCTGCAGAAAGAAGCCAGTATGGCTTGCGTCAGCTCTGTCCCAAGACCCCATACTAACAGAAAGTGCTGTGACATCATGTGTGTCATCACTTTTCTGCACCTCTGGACCACTATGTAGAAAATCTGAAACCTAGGAGCTGAAGCAATTAGCTGATAGTTCTAAGACCAGAAGCTGTGCTCAGTCCCTCCAGAGCCACTTATTTCCAGCGCCATTTTAAAATGTCTCTAGGATGACTACACATTGTACCAGTGATGTTTTAAAATGGCACCTGGAAATCAATTTGTTAAAGAGGATGTAAAGTTAAAACCTTTCTTTTTTTTTTGAGTACCAGTCGGAAAGGTTTTTATGTCTGTCTGAAATTAACCCTCACTACTAGTTCATTGTCTTTGATTTATAAAGTGATGGAAAGCCAAGAGTTAAAGTTTACAGGTGGCCAAACACAAACTTACCATTGCTGCACTTTTTTTTTTTAAGTTGAATTGTTAACAGTATATGCAAACATTCCTTTTTCAATGTTTTCTGCTTTTAAATTCCATTTAAAACTAAGACTGTACTTATTGAAAATAGCATGGCTTTCAACAGATTAATTTAATCAATTACCCTCTATAAACCACAGAAAGGTTGAATCAGAAGAAAAAAAAATCTATTACTTTATCCTATTTTCATATAACCATCCACATCAAATATAAATGTTAACGCCCATTTTAAACTCAACTCTGGGTGAAAAAATGCAAAAACCTTTCTTACAGTGGGGCTGCCCCCACGCTGCAAAGGTTAAATGTTCATTTATGTCTAGGATACCAGAAAAAACTATATTATATACCTAATCTCCGCTCTCCTGGCAGCTGGCACTCTGCTCAACTTCTCTATGATCCGGCTTGGAGACTGTTCCTATGCACCCTCATGTCCAATGTAGAGCTATGGGCCCTGAATTGTACTTTATGTTGTCAGAGGGAATGTCAAGTTTATGGGAGAAGAGGCTGCAGGAATTTGTTTTCCCCAAGTTCAGTTTTAAGTATGCTTAGCTTAGCCGTAGCATATGTATACTAACTAGCCACATAGCAAAGCTCTTAGATTGTAAGCTCCAAGGAGCAGGGCCTTGTATTGAATTGTATTGTTGCTGTATTGTCTCCTGCCATATTGTAAAGCGCTGAGCAAACTGTTGGCGCTATATAAATCCTGTATAATAATGTTTTCATGCAGTAATACAACAGTGTTTACTACAGGAAGATGGGCACTAAGAAACACTGCTTCTGGGACTAGTTTTGCTGTTCCCATAATGCCAATTTTGTTTTTCTGAAAATCACAAATAAAAACTTGCACAAATGTCTGTTGAAATGTACATAATATGGATTAATACATGCAGAAGTTCTGTCTATGTTTACTATGGCTGTAACATAGGTACTAAAAGAACCCTAAAATGTATCTGGAATTAGGGATTTCCAGCATGAAAGGAGATACTTAAGAAAACTAGATATATATTCAAGTATTCAGCTTGTGTATAGATAAAATAATTTTGCTTCAAGCAAAATCAATGGCAGCAATAAAACATCGTAACATTATAAACTGAACAGAATAAAAATAACACTTGTCCACATCTTACCATATTATTGGCCCAAGAAATGAAATTCCCTCTCCACTTGATGTTTGTTATATTCCCTTCTCCTTCATGTAGGATGGTTGTTTTCCATCGGTTCAGCCAGGTTCTTTCATATAAAATCAACTAGAACAAATAAGAGTTAAAATACATGAATATGTAAAATATAATTATGTTATTTTTGTGTGGAAGCTTCCCAATAATCACAACTATATCATATAACAAACTTTTTAAAATTTCAGGTATGCTGTGTCAGAGCTCTTTCTAATGTCAATAAATGCACCTTAACTTATATCAGTCCCCATCCAAGCAGGCATCAGTGTCATAATCAGAAATTAGATCCAGGCATCAGAATTTATTCAATGTGATACCTTTTTAATTGCACTAACAGTTAATTTATCAGAAACACTTTCAGGGGTCTACTCCCTTCTTCCAGGCCCTAAACCTCTGTGTACTATTTGGACCTAGAAAAAGGAGGTACACCTAGGAAGCATATCCAGAAAGATTACCTGCTAGTGCACATGAAAACATCTCACATGCAATACTCAACTGTGCTATTACAAATGTGCTAATATGGATATTCACTGTAGGCATCAAAGACACCCGATTCAGGGCTTGTTCTTGCCAGGTGCATTGAACTTCATTGATCAAAACATGTTTAACACAAAGGCACATAGAAAACAACTGTTTTCTACATGCCCTGTTCACACCCTGCATGTACACCATACATGGTATGTAAATATGCAGCACGAACAAATCTTTGCTGGCTGCTACCATTGAGATTCAAACATCTCACTCTTTTTATCCTCAGAATGTAATGTCATTACTAACTTTTTCCCCACCTTCTGTGTCCCCAGACAGGTGTTCAATGGTGGCACAGGAAGCAATAGAAACACTTTTATAGTAGAGTGTGAAAATATTTGTACATTTGCTAGTTTTATTTTGCAGTCTGTGTACTTTTTGGAAATTTCTCATCACTTCCTGTCTCAATAATAGCGATCACTAACAAGTGGAAGTTTTCCCAATGGAGACACATATAGAAATAAAAATCTGACATAGATTTAATCGCTTCACCATTCTATGAAAAAATTTAAAATGGACTAATTACTGAAATCCATATTTTATCAAATTTAGCTGGGCACCCCCCCTATGTTGGTATATGAGCTTTCCAGAGCACAGAACAGTGTGCATAATGGCAAGCCTGTCCTGTGTAGATGGGGCCGAAGCCGAAGGGCTCTTCCAGCACAACAAAAATCACCTTTCAGGCTAGGAACAAAGCTCTAGATACTGCCTCTTTAACAAAAGCATTAGGGATCACCAGATCCTAAATACCGGGAATACAAGACAGAGGGTCCACGTCCAAGTTTAACTTGAGTTGATAGGCCTGATTAATATCTAAGACACTGACCCAGTATCTATGAAGCATGGGACAGCACCATAACATGTGGATCAAGTCCCCAGGATACTAAAAACCATATTAATATAATTTCTCTTCTCAAGTATGACATTGTAGACAAAAATACAGTAAAATACTATTTCAAACAAACAATGCATACTCATCAAAAAAAAAGAAATGTATTGATGACAGTAATGACTACAAAGTCACATTGTTTATAAGCAGAATTTTGTAAGATGTTGAATATGCTCATACTCTATTATCTATATCCTTTACAAATATGTAATACATTATTGCGACAATACTGTTAATTGTTGTAAATAATCAAATGACCAATAAAAAACAATAGTTATAAAAAAAAAAATACAGTAAAATACACATCAGAGCATAATGAATTAAACAAAGAAATGCCTTGGTGTCTTCAGAGATAATTGGTTTAATTAAGTAGCTCATTTTGGTTCTACACCTTTCAATAAAAAGAAATTGCGCAATATTTTCTACTCACCTTCTGTACATACATGTTGAGAAAAAAAAAACAAATTGCAGAAGCTCTAACCAGAAGTATGAAAGTTTACCACTAGATGGTGCCAGAGTACAGCAATTAAAACCCACCATTTACCTTGAGCTAGTAACAAGGCACATTTTCTATGCAGCACATAACACTGCAAACCTGCAAGGGTAACATCTTGTAATTTTGTCTTCTTGTCCAACTGTGCTCATCTTGTGGGTGTACTGTAGACAGTACTTACACCCATGGGTGCCTGAGCAAAATCATTACTGTGCAAATGACTTTTGGTCAGATCTTGTGAACTAAAAGGTTTTAAAATATTGGTTCCATTTCACAGGGGTCATGGTCAGAGGACATTTCATGCAAATTACTAAAGTGTTACTACTCTAGGAATACAAACGGATAGAGAAAGAAAACCAATACTTTACACTGACAAAAGAAAAAAACACAGAAAATTAACCTTTATCTGTTAACCTATAAGACTGTGCACAAAAAAAGCTAAATCTTAGCAAAAAAAAGTGTTACAAAGGTTTCTAGCATTATCTGGAAGGAACAGCAAGCTTTTTCATAGCATGCAGAAAGTTCTTTAGAACACAATGGAAGGCCCATTAACGCCACTTGTTTAACTTTAATTATTGGTTTCAAAAACAATTGGTTTGTCTTTCTAATATTAAAAGCACCAGTTTTATTTCCAAAATCCTGTATGTTGCCTCGAGAGATAATAATACACACCAGATTTGTATTCATGAACATCTCTTCACTGAGATTTATGTCGTTTTTACATAATATGCAATGTTTTACAAAATATATAGCACCGTTTACTACCAGATGACCCAAATGTAGTATCTGAATTTTATTTTGAGAATAATGAGATGAGACAGACCCTAACCTGTCAACCAACAACCTCCCTTTCATAATTCTAAACTCTATTTCTCTCCACCCAAGAGATTTTGGGTTAAATATCCACAGATTTGACATACCACACCCATGAAAAAACAGATGTAACAACATGTAATGAGTAAAATAGGTTGCCAACACTGTGTATATGACAATCAGTTGTAAGCCAATAGTGGCAGTAAGGTATAACATGGGACTGGTGGGTAACAGGAATGGAACGGGATAAAAAAAAAAAAAAGGGGGGGGGGGTAGAAGGGAAGATAAAAAAAGGGATAACTGAACAATCTGAGAAATGCCAAAAAAAATTGATAGAAGTAAAAATAAGTAAGGCCAATAATCACTGGGAGATAAAGGCTTGAAAAGCATTAGGGCTGAAACAACTAATCGACACAATCAATTACGTAAATAGTTAACTATTTTCATAATCAATTAGTTGGCCTGCATAAAGAATGTGTTATTTGTTTACATATCAGAAAATACAGTGCAGCACACATGTCACAGTGCTCAGTATACCATCCATACATGTCAGTACACACAGTGCAGCACACATACAGCTCAGTACACCATCCATACATGTCAGTACACACAGTGCAGCACACATACAGCTCAGTACACCATCCATACATGTCAGTATACAAAGTGCAGCACACATACAGCTCAGTACACCATCCATACATGTCAGTACACACAGTGCAGCACACATACAGCTCAGTACACCATCCATACATGTCAGTACACACAGTGCAGCACACATACTGCTCAGTACACCATCCATACATGTCAGTACACACATCCAGCACATGTCAGTACACCATCCATACATGTCAGTACACACAGTGCAGCACACACATACTGCTCAGTACACCATCCATACATGTCAGTACACACAGTGCAGCACACATGCAGCTCAGTAAACCATCCAGTACACATACATACATGTCAGTACACACAGTGCAGCACACATACTGCTCAGTACACCATCCATACATGTCAGTACACACAGTGCAGCACACATGCAGCTCAGTGCACCATTCCATACATGTCAGTACACACAGTGCAGCACACATACAGCTCAGTACACCATCCATACATGTCAGTACACACAGTGCAGCACACTCATACACCATCCATACTCAGTACACACATCAGCACACATACTGCTCAGTACATACACAGTGCAGCACACATATGCTCAGTACACCATCCATACATGTCAGTATACACAATGCAGCACACATGTAAGCAGCAATGCCTCGTGGGACATGTAGTTTTGTGCAGAAAGAGGTGAGTGATTCTAAAATCAGAAGTTTTTTTTACCTTGCTATAGGGGCACTCTGAAGGCAGGAGGAGCCAGAAGTGCTGGGGGGGACCCCAGAACAGGAGAATCAGGGCTGCTCTGTGCAAAACACACAGAGAAAAACCCTTGCACAGAGCAGGTAAGTATGACGAGTCTGTCCAAAAAAAAAAAAAACCCTCCAATGGACACAAATATTCATATGAAAACTTTTTGTACATTTGATGGATGAATGTTGATAGAAAATTTCACTTGCTTTTAACATTCAGTTTTAAAATGAAAGTAATTTCTGAACGAAAAGCACATAGTTTGTCCAAAAATTTGTTCGACCGAGAGAAGTTTTCTATTCTGCTCCTTCGAATTTTCCCATCAATGTAGTAAAAAAAACAATGTTGATTTTGTCCCCACCAACGATTAGAAAATCAAACATTCTTAAAATGAAAATGATCAAAATACATTTTTTTTTGTGTATGACCAGCATAAGTGACAGCAGGCACAGGTAGCTTGTATCAAGCTACCTGCCTATGACAAGGGAGTCTGTCATGCAGAATATTGTATTACAGCTCTGTCTGAAACTCTGCAAAAGAGCGTTTACAATTTTTTTTCCCTTAAAATAAAAATGTTGATCTCTGAGACTGATGATATGTACCCAATTCAGCCTCTAATAGTTTATACATCTCTTCTGTATTTTATTCTCAGAGTAATTAGATGCGTTCTCGAACCATATAGCTGGTTATTTGTATTTATCACTGCATATAGATATTCAAGAATAAATTGTCTTTTTTTAAAACTACATATTACCCAAATTATACAGCATACTTTTTTTGAGGTTTTTATCTGATTAATTAATCGAAACAATGATTGGCCAGCTAATCGATTATGAAAATAATCTCTTTAGTTGCAGCCCTAGTTGGAATCTCTGTATGTCCTTCAACACATCCAGGTGGTGCAGACTTTTTCAGGCTCAGGGTTGTTTTCCGCAATCAATATCCCCATGGCCATTCTCTCATTAAGTATCTGGGCTCATTCCA